AAATTGATCAACAAATATATTTTATGTTAAAAAACGATACGTATCCAGGCATTCAGAGAAATTGTCATGCTTTTTATACTTATTTGGTATTTTTGTCTTCTATTTTCGTCATGTATTCTATGATACATAGTGTAAAGGCTTTTGCTATCATTGAAAGACACCACAAATCACTTCATATTTCATAACATGCTAATAATCATTGGTATATAAGGCTGGATTCAAGAAAATCTTATTTCTCTATAACTGTATTATTTTTTTTCCTTTTATAGGGTACAAATGTCAACTTTTATAAGACCTTTTCTATAACTTCCAAAAACCTTGAATCTTATAAAGATGAATATAATGAAAATTGTTGCATGAAAAAAATTCATTTTCAAGCTTCATTTTGATGCATTTCAAATTAAATATATATTTTTGGAGTTATCCTTCCTGGCTGAGGATCGGATATCCTTAATGTCCTTGAAAATTCTTAGTAATAAGAAAACAAATACTCAGAATTCTCCGAGCATATTTATTAAACATATTTGGTTCTGAGTCAAAACACTTCAGTGGGGTTGTCAAGAAAGTAGAAGTGACAGAATGAGTAATATTTATTATGCAAAATTCCAAAGACAAGACGTAAAAAAAAAATTCCAAAAATAAAATTTGAAAGCTTTAATGTCGTTTTAAGTGTCACATTCAATAATTGGCAAGATCATACACCACCTTCAAAAAATTTAACAAAAAAATACATCTATATTAGTTTTTTTTTTATTATCTATTCATCATAATTGCATACAATGCGATGACAAGTTGAGAAAGAGGAGAGGTTATTTTTAGACTCTACACAGTCACTCATTGTAAAACTTTTGTATCTACAGAAGAGAAAATGCCATTTGTTTTCACATCTGTAAATTCTTAAGCCGTCACAATGATCTGTAAGTCAGATCTGAAAAATATCAACTAGAACTTTCATAGTTCCACATCTGAGCAGTTTAGCGATCCAAGTTAGAAGATAAGCGCGAAGACTTAGCAGAAAACAGGGACGGTGCCTTCTTTAACGTCCGACTCATTTTAAAAAGAAGCAATGATAAATGTAAGATTATTCTTCAGCGTCTTTTGACTTTAATAAACAACACAAAAGAAATTTGCCAAGATGCCATATTCATTTATTATAAAAACCCCTGGAACGGCTCCAAAGTTTTCCTGATACTTCCCTTACTATTTGTTTAGATTAGCAGACATTTTACATATCCAATAAAAGGTTCACTAGAAAGTTTCTGATCAATTTCATATTAAGTTGTCAAAGCTTCGACTTCACAAAAATTGACATAAAACCTCTCTCTGCATTTTTCTGGTCCTCCGACATGATTCAAAAAACATGGGTGTCTTCTAGCTCGGCATATTTTTGGGGTTTCTCTCTCCATTTACTTAATTTAACTTCCAAGATGAAAGGGTAATCTTAACAACAATGGTGTGTTCACATTCAAGAGAACAAGTCAATGACGAAGTCTAATTATTCTGAAAAAAATATGTAACATCTATCAAACCTTATACCTGTAGAAAAATCAGAATATGCCATAATAACAGCTTCAATATTTGAACAGCCATTTTAATCTTCCAGGATTTTTATAAAAAGCAAATAAGTATATTGTAAAGCTGTCAGAACATGCTGATCTTGTATGACACATTCCTGTAACATATGCTTCTTAAATTGACACATATATTTTTCAACTTGGATTGTACAAAATGAATGAAACAAAGGACTTTATATCCTCTTTTTTCTAACCTTGAACACAGTGATATGTCACCTTAACAGACAAATTTTAACCTTGCCATCTGCTATAGCTCAGAGCATCTCCTTAAAGGCATCTCAAAGGAAACAAAGCTTATATATCTAATGCTTAAGAAATGTATTTATAGGCATTGATACAAAATTAATTATGAGCAAGAGAAGAATTTCAAACAGTTCTAATTCAGCATGTTAACTCTTTTCCTCTCAGGATTAATTTACTTGAGATCAAGAAGAACCTGGTATAACTATCCAATCAATAATAAATATTGACAGGTTACGTAATGACGACATAAAATGGACAAAATCATGTCAGAATACTTGCATAATTTGCAGGCTATGGTACACTAACAGTTTTGTATTCATTATTATGGGTCAATTAAGGTTGAAAAGGTTAAACGGAACAATCTACAACTTCTGTCCAATAACCAGGTTTATGTGAAACCTTAACTGATGGTTGACTTTACAGTAAGTATAATTTTACCCACAAAACTCAATTCATTTATTCTATAATTTAATTGGAACCAAAAATCCTTCATTAGTAAAGTTTAATTTGTACTACAGAAAAAAATTGCATGTTAAAAAGACAAATGCTCTATTTAACATGTGTCATAAATTTCCCTGACAATACACAATCCAATGAAACGGCCTTGAATTCCAGAAAGATTCTTTGAAATTGGCTGTATCACAGGTGACATTAGTACGCATCTTTTAAATATCCTCTATATATCATACACAATAAAGATTTGATAAATGCCAAGAACATAAATTTTCACCTCAGCTAAATTTACCAGTTGATTTATTTTTGAAAATTTTTGAGCAATGGATTGGTAATTCATCGTACATCATAAATAATAATTCCCTGAGGTTGGTTCTAGAATAATTTTTCTTTTTTCTATCCCATGATTGTAACAATAAAATACAGGTTTATTACACAAAAATTTAGCATATTAATGCAATCTAAAAAAAATTTTAATGGTTTTTAAAATCAAAACTTGATTATTTAGAGCAATTAAAACTTCAAAAGAAGTGAGAGTCTCTTGAGAATATGTGACAGGACTCAGAACATAAGGAAGTTTTTGTCCTTTTATTCTTCTAGCTTTGTTAAAACCTTTATTAGATCAAGTGGAATCATCATTATTCATGGGGGACCAATGTTTGTGGATTTCGTGGGTCAATCTTTATACCCATGAATTTATATCCCTGGAAATTAACACTTATTTTGTAAAACATACTGATTTATTGTAGAAATGGATTATCCCATAAAAATTACGTCCCAATGAAAAGGTAAAATTTTGCTTGCCCATGAACTTTGACCCCCGACCCCAAACCCCACAACTAAAATGATTCTACAGTAGTATTCAACAATATAACAAATCAAGTTTAATTAGTCATCATTTTATTCTTTTACTATCAGTAATTGATGACTTGTGTCTCAAATCACCTTTCATCATCATATAACAAGAGGCCCATGGACCATAGCACTCACCTGTTGTTCTTCTGAATCAGAAAACTTTTAAGATTTTTATATCCCCATAAGCTTCATCATTTGAAAACAGGATTGAAAAAAATAACCTTGAAAGTCATCATAGTAACTTTTGGTTATACATGTGTGTATCACAATTAAAAGTGACTGTGAAGACTTTCTTTATGAACGTGATCACAGTATGTTCTTGAACTACAATCCTCATTGCTGAACCTGAACTTTAATTCTTGTAGTTGCAAAGTACCCACCAAACTAAAGAATAACTACCGGGTACTTTTAATTAGCACTTGTTTCTGCAGAAGTTTGGCTCTAAATGTTAGTACATATAAGTCAAATCAGGAAGAGAACAGAAATAATGACAGTGGAATACATTTGAATATCTTTATATCATCTGTTTAAAAGAAAGAATCCCAAGGCTAATATATTTTGAAGCTGTAAAAAAAATGCAAAAGGAAATATATCATATACATATATGATAATTCAAATTTCATCCTAATAAACATCAAATGCATTGATAGGAAAAGACAGAGTTTGGCATGACAAAATATATTTCTTACTTTTAAGCTTTTAAAAACTTAAAAAAATCTTAATGATTGTATGCTTTCGTTTGATTATATTTATAATATCATAAATTTTATAAATGGGATTAGGCATAATTTCTAAAAATTTAATATGCCCTTTCCCTACATGTGAAATATACATCAAAACGTTTTTGTTCATTATTACATGATTCATGTTGCATTGGTAATTTTGTAAAACTGAAGAAAACAAAATAAATATATCCAACAAAACCCTATAATTTCACAACTACCAGTACTAGTTTTCAGATAAACAGTGTGCAATTCATGTGGTATAATTATATACATAATTCAAGCATTGATGTTTTTCTGTTTCCCCTATGAAAATGTCATTTTCAGAATGCGAATAATGTCTGGTTAGAGTGTAAGTTTTATCTACAAACTAGCAAACCAGAACTTGTGAAGAATAAATCCAACGATCTATTCTCCCCATTGTCAGCTTTTCTGGCACAAAATTAGTGAAAACAGTGCTGTTTCCACTTAATATTAGAGAGTGTCTTTTACTTAGCATGATCAAGACGTCAAATTAGAAGTATTTACGTTAATTACTTGTGTAATTCTTTTTAAACTCAGACCAGAAAATTGCACCTAAAACTTGCATTGATGGTACATATTTTGTAAGTAATTCGTGACAAATTAAAAGCATGCCTCCACGATTACTTAATCTGTTCCTACCGTCTGTCTCCAAAAAAAAAACTGAAGCTGCATGGATTATGGCCTAAGTCGTCATAAAAATAAAAATAAAACTGAAACTGCCCTATTGTAACTAGCGTAGAATTATCACCATAGCCTTGGATCACCACAAGAGATTAACGTAAAATATGACTCCATAGTCCATGATTCAGAGTAAACATTTATTTAGGCCAATTAATTTCCCATTTCAAATGTTAGCAGCCATATATGTCTTTAAAAAGTATTTAAGCAAGCGATGTAATATTTGATTTCAACCTAACGACCAGAAATTGCTGCCTATTAAAATGTTTTATTACAAAAATATCGTTTTTGAAAATGTCAATGATTTAACTACTTCAAAACTGCAAATTCAGCCTACTTTTAATTGGTTATGATAAAGAAATATGCCTCATAAAAAATAATACCATTATGGGGTTTTTTTTCCTGAAAAAATTAAGTATTTCACTTAATATAAACAAAGTTAATCACTTACTTAGGGAAAGTCAAACCAGAAATCGCTGTCCTCGGGTCATAGTTCCATATACAGACAACAGATTCAGGGATGGACCTCTGAAATGGTACAATAACTCACTTAATAGTTTAACTCTAAGAGTTCATTTTAAATAGAGATCTGTGAAGAATTTATACAATACACAAACTACTGAAAGTTGACTTATCATTTCTATAGGAATTTGAATTTAATTTAATTAATAAGCTTTATTTGAGATTTATACTTTCCACTGTCTCTGCTAAATAAAGCTGCAGTTGTTAAAAATTTCTACCATTCAGATTTTGGAGAGCTAAATGTGAACTGTTACCTAAGACAGCAGGTGACAATGTTACATCCTCCTATCCCTCCAGGACCAAGGCACTTGTGAAGTCTGTACACTAAAACTGTATAAATAGGAATCAATGGTCAAGTTAAAGGCAAAGCAATTATGGATATACGTTTTTAATAAAATATATATATACATATGGGTGTAACCAGTTGGCAAGGGATGCACACTCCTCCATGGCAACTGATCCCACCTCTGATGTTTTGGATGTCAGTGTTTGCTCTCCTCCTATTTTTTATTGTTTAATCAACTTTTGATCTTGAATACTGTTCATTACCTACATATATTTCATACTCTTTTATGTTGAATAATTTTGATCAAAATTAAGCAAATATTACATATCAATATCAGATTAATATACCAATTTAAAAGGTAAAGGGTCAAAGGTCATTACCTCTGGTGCAAAATATTAGGTTATCAGTTTGCGAATATATATAATAACAGTAATTTATTTGTATAATATGTTAGTAAAAGTTATAGTGTAGTCCTAGGGATACAGATGAACTAGTGACAACATATTGATCATTGAAAAGGTACTTTTCAGTCAAAATTAAAGTTTTTTAAGGAAAATGAATTATACATATATAAACCTGTTTGAAACAACCTCTAATCGAGTTCATTAAACAAGAGAAGATAATAATTATTATAAAGACAAAAAGAAAGCAACTATTTCCAACTAGAAACATGACAAAAAGACTCAAAATTCCAGCTACATAAGTTTTGGAGAATCAAGAAATAGGCGACTCAAATATAGTAAAACTAAATGTCACAAGTTACGGCAAGCTTGACCTCCTAACAAGATATACACTGAACCTGTGTCATTAGTTACAGCATGTCCTACACTTTAATCAAGAATTGAAAAAAAGTCAACTAGAAATAGAATAGCTTAGTTAAGAAGAGATAAGAACTGCGCAGCTGAGATAATTCTGTTTGTAGGAAGTTATACAAGGTATTGAAATAATTTGCACCAAATACAGAATAACAAATGTCAGATGAAGGTCAGAAGAAAAGACAAAGGTAGTATATTTATAAATAAATTGTTCAAATGAGATGTATCGGAATATATGATACACTTTTCCAGATGTCATCATGTGTAAGTGAAATGAAGATTAATTGTTACATATTCAATCAAAGTAGTTATATACAATTGAGGTCAATAGAAAGGTCATGGTGATTAAAACTTCAGAAAATTGAGAAGGCATGCCAGCATGTACTTGCATTGGGTTAAAGTCAAATAAAGATATTCCATATATAACTTAATTAGCTCAATAAGAATTTGAGATCAAGATTTTCAATTATGACAGAGATGCATTGCACTACCCATGGACCTTAAGTCTTTAACGGTCAACTCTCTCATGCATGGGCCAACTCTGCAGCCACAACTGGAACTGCAGACTGGTGAATTCCCCTTACCATCAATTTCGCCCCTCCCTGGAAATCTCCTTAAACTGGAGATATCCATATGAATTCCCTATTCTAGCAGAGAATTAGCTGTTTTAAGCTTGAATTTTTGAAATCATAAAATAAATTTTGATAGATTTTTTTACTTCACCCTTTCAGCTAAAGGATTAGAGGCCTACGGCAGGACCATAAAATTAAGTTTTTGTCTCTTCATCAAACTAGAATTTGTTCATGCAGCTATTTCAGAGCAGGAGAATGACCATTTCAAAAAAAAAAACTAGCAACATCCCATCCTAGGTATCCTGATTTCATGACATATGAGAAGCCAACTGAAAAAAAACAACCTTTTTTACTGAAATTTTCTGAAGTGGTACAAAGCTTAGAGTTACTAAAAAAAATCAATTAATTAAATTCTAAAACAATTCCCCAAACTGTTTTGCACTCAAATTAATTGTGTCTTCTGACAGTCCAAATATGCATCGTGTTTCATCAAATAAATTAATGCATTTGACTTTTTTTTATCCTCGGCGATCACAAGCTTCTGTCAATGGGGGCCGCTGTACATTTGGATATCAAAGTAAATTTGGGGGTTGATTAAAATCAAACATCATTGAAAAAAAAATTATCCTCAACACCAATAAAAAAGCCTATCTTTTTGCAGAACATTCAAACGAACATACTCCTTAATACTGCTTAATAAAATAGAAATGACAAATTAGACTTACTTAACTTTTATTTGATAGAAAATATTGTTAGTATATGAACCATAATACAGCTTTTCTATTTTATTATACCCCCCGCTTGAAAAGCGGGAGGGTATATAGTATAAATCGGGACGTCCGTCCGTCCGTTACGCTTTGGGGTACTTTAATCTCGTATCCCCAACTCTTCTCATACCACTGAATGAAATTTGATGAGACTCTCGCAGAATCTTTACATACTGCCATTGTGCACCTCCTGTATTACTTTTTGCTCTGACTCATATTTTGGGTTTCCCATGGCAAAATATGGACAGTGCCTATATTCATATGGGGGGGGGGAAGGGGGGGTATCATTACTTGAGCTCATTGCCCACAGTACCTCTAGTTTGGAATATGTTGCTACTGAAATTTCACCATTATGACATCTGACTTCATCATGTATTTGCTTAATAATGTTTTGTAGTACATGTACTAAATGTGTGTTCTTATTGTGTAGTCATAAATCAAAAACAAATTACTCATCAATAATAGAGAAATTTAGATATAAAGGAAACAACACATATATGTATTGAACCTGTTTGACTTTCTCATATACATTTACTATAAAATAACATATTTGGTAACCAAAAAAAACATTTTCACCAGATTTCAAAATCCAATAAATCATTATATGTATGTAACTAATTTATCTTTTTTTGAAATGATGGATAATTAATATTTCAAATTTCCCCCTGGGGGAAAAACTAAAACATTTACTGAATGTTATGGTTTTAATAGGTCCATTTAAAATAATAACAGAAGTTATGATATTTTTATTTTATACTCTCTGTGCGACACATACATTACTGAGATTGATTCATCTATATTTCCTTCATAGTAAGTTTTTAATGTGCTTACTAATTGAAATTTATTTAATTGAATATATATTGAACATGTACATCTGTACAATATTCAGCGTATATGCAAGTATACTTTTAAATCTAGGTGGATATAAATGAATTTAATTAATTAACTCCTCTATCCCTTAATTGTGTCATATATAAATAATACAAAAGTAAAAACAAAGTCTAATTCTCTGCCCAAGGACTTTATGTTTGGACAGCAAAGGTCAATCATTTTGACAATTTTGTGCACTTAGTGGACAAGCCAAATTCAAGGGACAACCTTTTCTACAATAAAAATGACATAAATAGCCTATAACAAGATTGGACATCTTCATTTGTGAAACTGCCCATGCAAATGTTTGACTTGTATTTGAGGTTAGGTTACAAGTGTTAAGGAGAAAATTACAAAGAAATGGTCAGCATGTTGACTATATATGCCTAGGTCATAGCAGACTTATTGTCTTTTTTGTTTTTATTTTTTTTTTCTCCCTTTCCTTTCTTTCTTGACAAATTAAGAAACATTTTAATTACATGTAATGCATTTGTTTCAAATTAATTTTTATTGAATAATCAAGTGGATTGGAAACAAGTTCATTTTTAAAAGTTTGTTTTTTTCTAATATTTGGTTACTATAACAACTGTTGATATGCATGCAAATATGCAATCATAAGTTCATTTTTAAAAGTTTATTTTTTCTAATATTTGGTTACTATAACAATAGTTGATATGCATGCAAATATGCAATCATAGAAATGTAGCATGCTTTTTACCCCAAAAGTTGATACACTGTAGCAATTATTTAAACTTTTTGAAGCAAATATCTTTTGTATATCTTTTTAAACATTCATTAAAAAGCTATGCAGATATCAAGTTGTAAATTTTATATTTACTAAATCTAGGTAAATGCAAAATTTACACTATGACGACTGTTGAAAATTTTGCATTTATACCTCTAACTAGTAAAATTAAAATTTTCAACATGATACAAATGTGAAAAGGGGGGGGGGGGGTTAAATATTTGCAATGGTTCCTTGTTTAGAGTTTCAAGTTTCATTGTTTAAAAAAATCAGAAGGGTCAATTTGCTGAAACAAAAAAATTTGCTTCTTTGGCTGAACAGCAATATGATACCAAAGATATAATCACTTTCTCTAAATCTTGCCGCTACCTGAATAAGTTAATTACTCAATAATCAATAGAATTAACTAGTAAAAAATAATGGCACTGATTTAATTTACAAGTTTTTCTTGAGAAAAAAAATCAATAGCCATAATTTATTGGAAATTCTATTTAGATCTTCTGATCTGATTCTTTTCTCATCTGGTTAAAAATACAATGGCTTGATTTACACCAAGCCTTACTTAAGATTATAATTTTCAGACTGTGATCAAGACACTAAATGTATATATATATGTACAATGTCTTATCATATTTCATTTAAAAACATCTGTTTAAAATCCCATATCCCTCTTTGATGTAAATCTATTTGTTCAGATAAAGTTACTAATCAAATTAAAACATACTTAAGTTTACATTCGGCCTCAGGGATTAAAAATTGTGTGCTTTCACAGTTCAGAACTTAAGAAGGAAAAAGGATGTTTATAAGTAAGTTGACTTTACAATTCTTTCACACAACACTTATCTATTTACTTATAAAGACCCTTCCTTTTTGAAGACTTGAACGTGTTAATCTTACCAGCAGTAGAGAAAATTGAGTACATATGGCTCTGAAGCTGCTAGGATAACTTTTGAGCTTAAATAGCCACTTCTTATATAAGCCTACACAAAACAATTTTTAACCCATGCATCTCTTTATAAATTAATTAACACATAATTAACATCTTAAATCTGCAAATTTGTACTTTTCTTCAACAATTCCAAAAGAAGACATAGAAATTCTGAAATGACATCATTGCAAAAACTAGAATTTCCAATGTTTCATAAATTGTAAGTTATTTCCTTAAATGGTCATTTATTAATATAAGGATTGGCCACTACTTTAACATGATTTGTTTCCTAAAGGTGATAAAACTAAAGCTGGGAAATGTTTAATTTAATAGTGATGATGATGATTAAACAGCTTGCTTACAGAGATAGCTATAAGGGTATATAAATTTTGAAAGCTGGGGGGGGGGGGGGGGGTCTTCCTACTTATAATTTGTCACACAAAACATTTTGAAAATTCATGCAAATAAGAATACCATGGAACTGCATCTATATGCAAATAGAAACATACACTAGGTCTGATGTAAATTGTTTGTATTTACATTGAAATCTGTCATATGTTAAATCCCCTGACCAAGACAAGACCCCCTACCATCCACCCACACCAACCCCCTAACTATACCCCCCATCACCCTACCCAGACCCTCATCACCCTACATGAAAACACATGTACTTGAAATAAAATACACATTTTCAGCTCCATTATTTCTCTTCTCATATAATTATAGACTGAAGTTATAAGCTCTGACCAATGGTCAATATTCACTAATTGATTATCTGTCCACACAACTTGATATATACATGCATGCAAATGACAATAAACTGCAGAACAGTGTTTATTTGTTTTCTATAAAATGTTCTATTTATTGCACCTTCTTTTTTCTTTTCTTGTTTTTTTTTTTTTGAGAAATTGAATTGTGCCTGTATATAGTAATTTTTATAAACAATAATGTACTTTAAATTCCATTAAAGTGTTCATTTAATTCATTTTCCATAAAAAAAACAAATATTTCTTCAAAACACACATTGAAAAGATTTCTCTTGAATTTTTTTACTGCCCATATAATGTCACAAAGTGTGTTTCCAGTCAGCTTCTTTTATTATTCATCAGCAGAAAAATGGACCAGACTGTATTCTTAAATTTCATAATTTAACAAGAACCCATAAACTTTATTATCTAATCAATACCCAAACCATCTCTGAAACTCTAATTTTGTTCAAATACTTGAGTGTCAAACGAGCTCGTTTCCATGGTAATAAAATGACTTATTTTGGAAATCGTCAGCAATAACATCTGGTTATGATTTTGAAGTTTTATTTAAATGTTGTATTAAGAAGCCCAGCCCCCTTTAGTTCAGTCTAGTAGGCGTGAGTTTCGTGTTCATGACATGTGTCAAGCCCCCTGTGAATTGATTTTTCTGGACGAAAACAATAGCCAGTGTAAATTGTAAACATAAGGCCCAGTGAATTCCAAGCGATTAAATTCGCATGTCAATTTTAATTTACGAATATACGATACTGAAACACACTGATGATTTCAATCACTGTTTAACTGGGGCAGCGTGAATAAACACACAGTTTATCTGTTGGATACTTACATAAAGAGTGGTCAGCTGTTTTTAAGCAGTGGGTTTTTAATCTCAACGTGCTCCCTTCAAACTTCCGCCATTAGTTTACTCAGTCCTAAAGCATCATGGGTAAAGGCAAGATGGCGAGTTAGTGTGACGGCTGATGAAGAAGGTAAAGTCGAAAGATGTTTTTATCAATAGTTTTAATTAAGCAACATATGAAGTGTAATTAATTTACTTTCTTGGATTTTATTTCCGTGACTGGAGTTATTGACATTTAAATTTCTGGTACGTATACACACGCTGCAAACGTGAAATCGTTAAATTATCGATCAATCGTAAATTTCTTTTTGTCCATTCGCAGAGTCGGACAGCTTTTATTTAAATTTTAATTTAGCCGTCAATTTGCTTCGGCATATTTCATACGAATCTCGATGAGGCTGCAACCACATCAGTGGCGCAAAGGAGCCATGCTTTTTGGGGGATATTCTATTTTTAACTGTCCGTTGCTTTGAGTTTCTATATCACTTGAAGTTTGTCTAAATTGCTAAATTTAGTTATAAGTTTGCTGTTGGATAAATAATAACGCACTTTAATGTGTGAGGAGGTAGCTACAGCGCATTATCGTAAAAAAGAATAAAAACAAAAGGCTTCCTTACTGACACTTTCCTTCAAAAATAATTTTGGGAAAATTGATGGAGATGTAACTCACTAGAAGGTCAGTATCTGTTTTATGTTTGCAGCGTTGTATCGTAAAGAAAAAAAAATGTTTGCCAGATTTTTCAGACAGAAAAACAAATTGTGTATGGGTCCCTTTTGATTATTAACTTTTCCACACGTCTGCTTGATTGGAGATTTTTCTCTTTTCTCCAGAAATTATTCTGAACTTTTAACAGTTAATTGAGTGCATGTGAATTTCTTTGTAATCAGCGGCACCTTGTCAGTTTCAGAGAACATGTGTTGTAGCCAATATCACAGTTTTAACCTGTAAACAAGAACAAAATTGATTGAATTTCGGCCTTTGTTCAAACCGCTTCTGCAGTTTTAATTTTGAAACTTGACAGTTGAATGTCACGAAATTGGTTTTTCTTTTGAAATTGATACAGTGGAAAGTATGATGTTCAAGTGTCTGATTACAGATTTAATGAGGAAAAAATCTTTTACAAGAAACTACTGATTGACATATCTGTTTTTCTACTTAGGCGAATAATAATTGATTGATTTTGTAAATTAATTTGTTATGCCTTTCTTCTGTCATTGGACTTTTGTGCAGAACTGTCCTCTGATGTTTAAAAAAAAAATCCTATTTAAAAATGAAGAGTGGGGATTATCAAAAGTTCACGAAAAGTCTTCCAAAGGTTTTTATTGGCATTGTAGGCATTTGACCCATCCCTTCTTGATATACAGGTTTATGATCAACCAAAGTCATCTATCAAACTTCATGTAGGATTATAAAAAATGACCAAAGGCCAGAGTATCGATGTAATAATTTGGGAATAAACCTTCTTGTGATTTGACTTCTTTAATGCCCTCCACTGGACACTACCTGCCCGTTTTTATGACTGAAAGTTGGACAAAATTCATGTTTTTGTCATTTATCATGTTTTGGGCCACATATAAGTATTTTTGACTGGAAGATATAAAGAAATTTATTGCTACAAAAAATTGTCCCAATTCTCTGTTGAAGCTGATTTTCTTTTGTAGGGGATCAACTTTTTCTTTCACTTAGCCCATTATCAGTTTCTGTCCAATGTGAGCAGTTATCTCTCATGACTTGAGCTGCATGTGTAATTTATCACAAAGCCCAAAAGTTGAACTTGAATTTACATTAAAATATTGAGATCATAACTGATAAGCATTGTTAGAGAACAGTGAATTCAGATAGGGTTATCTCTATGAATTTATTTATAGACAAGGTGATACTTTGGACATTAATTTGTTATAGAACCTACAAGAACTGCATTTGTTTAATTGGCACCATGTGTTGATCACTTCTGTAATCAAAACGCACAGTGAGAGAAAAAAAAACGTACAGCTAAAGTTGTACTTAGAGAAACGAAACAAATGTTTACAACACCAATTTTGACATTTAGAGTTAGTCTTCTAAAGAAGCCAACATGTACAGCTGTTATATTTGAAGGTTAGTTTTTTATTATTCTCCCCCTTTTTTCTTTTTTTTTTCTCTTCAAATTCCTGAGAGAATGCTTTTCGGGGGATTACTGTATTTGAATCACAGAACTTTACAGCAGTAGACCAATAGCATCTGTTGTATATTAGATGTGAATTCATAATTAATGGCAAGCTGGCAAGGGGGGTTTTCTTACTTCTTATAGATAAAATATTGATTCATAATCTAGCAACAATTTGTGAAAAATTTTCTTCTTACATGGGCTGATGAATAAATTATGAGAACGTTGCGTAGTCCTTAGTTGAAGACTGGCTAAGACTTTGCTCTGTAAATAGTGATTGAAACCATATCAAATTTGAACTCATTGAGATGCAAATTAAAGCCCCAATGAAACTGGAAATTGTTAAGATAAACAAGACTGAAACCATGCTTAGTTTATCAGAATTTCAAATTACATAAAGTCACAACAAAGGTTTAAGTGATTAAGAAAGCCATATTTATTTTTAGGGTTTTGTTTATGGGTTTCAAAACACCATGAATGATTATGGTGAAATTTAAGTCAAGAGGATTAAAATTACATCATTAGATTTAAAAGAATTTCAATTGAAAACAAAACATGCTATGTAATAAACACAAAGTCCAACAATTTAAGTCAATATAACGGTTGGTGGGACTTTTAACACAATTAGCCAACACAATAGAATCCAGTTTTAATTCACAAAATTTGATAATCCTTCAATGGAATTTTCAATGGGATTTTTGAAAGTCATTAAAGTTCACAGATAAAAGAACTGAAAAACATTAATATTTAACTTCTTTGAACTCTTTCTCATAGAAATTAATGTAATGGTAGTTAGATGTTTAGACAATGAAATCAATAAAAGACCATGTTGATGGGAATAAAATATTTATGAATCTGATGAAGAAATAAAAAAATATTTATTAACTGACAGTTCTTGGTCAGTTTTAAAACTGTAGAAAGGAATTATGCAATGAAGATCAAAGGTAATTTTCTTTATATGACATGAATTACATTTATGTTTTAATGAAAACATATGAAGGCATGTGTAGGATGGTATTTAATTAGTGTCTTAATCGTTGAATGTTAGTATGTTAGTACAGGTATAAAAGTGTGGAAATTTATCATTTACCTGAGGGACAAGAGCTGTCAATCATTTTAGTAGAGAAGGTAGGAAGACTTAACCTGTTTTAATCACTAGCTGATGGATATTCATACTGTCTATTGTGCTTTCAGCAGGTAGCTTTCATGGATTTGTAATCAATTGAGATAGCTATCAGAGTGTGAAAATCACCACTTTTTTGGGCAGGTGGGTCCTTTTTTTTCAACTTTGACGAATAATTCGAATTACTGTGATTATGCTATGTTTGACTCTTGCTCGTGTGTTTTTATCGGTAGGTAAGATTTGTAAAATACTAATCAATATCTTATTGAAGTTTCTATTCAAAAAAGGGAATTGACTTTCTGTGATTGAAAGTTAAAGGGAGGAGTTTTTTTCTTTTTTATAGAAATAAAAACCAATAACGCCACCTTTGGAGCTCTTTTGTCAACAGTTGCAACATTCTTTTGCAATAATTGTACAGCATCAAGAGAATTAATAACAGAGCAGTACTTACAAATGAATTTCATTGGATGAAATTAGACCCTGCCCATTCATTTAGTCACTGTTTGTAACTTTTGCCTGATGGCCAGCAGCAAGCTAGGGTTTGCTTGTTAATTAACTGAAAACTAATATCTTGTCAATTATTGATGTATATTCATATTTATGCTGGGATGTAAGGTTTTGAGCAAACTGACCACAGCACTGAGCATTAAAATGCTGCATTAATGAACTCGAAAAATAATTTCTCTCTGCCAAGCAGATTGTGTGTTATTATAAGATATAATATCACAAGGCTTGAGATAATAAAAAAAAAACACCAGTAACTATTAGCAGATTTTAGTGACTGTGTCTATAAACACAATTTTTCAAGGCATTTTTTCATTTGTGAACTTAGAGTTGAACTGTTTAGGTTGTGCAAGATCTACATGGAAGTGCAGTAGTTAACTGTTTGATGAAAAGGAAATTGTTATTGGAAATTCATTCAGTCGCCATTCGTAAAAGGTAATGTAGTTAAAAATGAAATTTTCTTAAAATCAGGATCAAAATTTTTTTTTTTAAATAATGAAATTTAAAAGTTTTTTTTTTCAATTTCAAATTTAATTTTTTAATTTTTTTTTTCAATTTAAGTCTTTTGCATCAGGAGTCCATTAGAAAGAACTTTGTGCATTTTTTTTTTACCCCCGTTATTTTACAGTTGTGAGTATAATTTTTCCCCATAATTTTTTTTCTTTTTGTAAAAATAAAACCTTAACTATAAATGTTTGTAATTTATTTTGGAATGTGTAATTAACATTCATTTTGAAGTTGGCAAGAAGTCATATGTTTTATAGCAAGAAGTTAAAACAATTTACAGACTCAGTTCAGCTGCATTGAACAGGTTTAATCTATGTTAAATGTATAAAACTGACTCTGGTTTATTGCAAAACAAATAGCCATCATGTGTTCTCCTACTTGAAAGTGGAATTTTGGAATATTTCATCAAAATAACTTGAGAAATATTTTTTAGTTCTTAAAAATTCAGAGGATGGTTTTTTTTCCTATTGGAAAGTCATGAAAGTTTCAAACATATACTCTGTAATTTACCCAGAATATTTGGGTCTCTAACTTTGTTGAGACTTTGATGTTTAAAGCAATGGCTTTCTGCATCTTGCTGCAGATGCAGAAAGGGAAGTAATCCTGTAAACTGTTATCTGAGTCTTGTACAACGATGCTTATATTTGTTCCTCATGAGAAAAAAAATTACTTTTAAAAATAGATTGGAAGGCATTTTTATGACACATTTATAAAAAGAGTATTATTCAGTGAAATTTTTGACATGAAAATTTATGATTTAAAAAAAAAATCTAGAATTTTAAATTTCTTTATTATGTTGGCATTAGTGATTGATTGCCTTATTTACTGTGTAATAAACTGCTTACAGATACATGTAACTTTATGATGTATTAAGTAATAATGTAATTTGATATTTTTGACATGATTAATTTTTTAGAGGGTATATTTTAATGATTTTAATGGATAACATCTTTTAAAGGGGGCTCATTATCTAATACATCTATGACATAATCCATGTATAGGCTACAAAATTAGAAACAATGCTGGCGTCTTAAACTGTGAGAAAAAAACATTAGTATTTGTCATTTTTATGTCCAGCCTTATGTTTTGAGTGACCCCGGGACATGAAAGCCAGACTTCAGGTTAAAAGTTTTTCATCATATAAATAAAACTGATATTTTGGTGCTCGTGAAATAACATTGCTGTCTTGATGTCTGAATTGGGTTTGATTTATTGATTGGAAGGTGTTTTTGAACATCTTCACTTATTGGATAACATCCTCAGGGGTGTTGTAATCTACCAGAAAGTAATATTACGTTTGTACAAAATTAACTGTACTGCATAGCCACTGCTAAGTCGACATTAAAAACTTGGGGATCTTAATTACATGAAGTCTAGGAGTTGTTATGGCGCAGTATTGTTCATAAATATTCATCTACATCTTGTACATGTAGATCTTCTTAAAATGCAGTATATATGTATTTATATGTATTGGAAATGAGTTTGTAAGTTTGATTAGTCTGACTTGAAGTATTTTTATGGTTTTATTTATTGATCTAAATTGTGTTTCATATACCATCTATTGATCTAAATTATATTTATATCTTTTGCCCAGTGTCTTTTCACATTCATAATTTTATTGTTAAAAAAAATTTAAAAATTAATAAAATTTCTTTTTATTTTTTCAGATACCTAACATCATAAGTGTGCCGTCAATGGAAGATCTAACAACAGGACAAACCAAATAAAGAAAAAGGGAGGAAAATTATCAACTTGGACCGAACTGACAGAGATCTGAATGTATCTTCCAGCCACTGCCAGTCAGATGTTAGCCATGGACGTGTTAGCATTTGATAAAATGTCCAAATCAAATCGACGTAAGCAGAGTAAGCCATTACGGGTATCATACAGTGCCGAAAACGACCCAACAGCCGAGGGAGGCGGTCCTATTCCAAATCGTGGACCGGCCGAGGAGGTCGTCAATGGTAACGGTGCAGGAGGGAATGTTTCCGAGTCGGAAATGGAGGAGCACCACTCACCAATGGGAAAAGTCAATGGAGGAAACCTACATCTGGATTCACAACCTATGAAAGACTTTGATTCTCCTGATGGAGAAAAAGTTGTCTCAGACCCCAAGGAAAATAACAATGAACATTTTCCGACAAAATACCATCGACTCGGTAGTGAGTTGTTTGCAGGAAATGCGTTCCCTGAAAATGGTATTCCAAAAGAAGAGCGAATTGTTGAGAGGATGGATGAAGATGGATTGCCAAAGGAACTGAACCCTGATGAAGAGGGTCGCAAACTCGATGGTCAAAGCCGTATCTTTCATCAGGATGCATATTGTGAACTTTGTGATCGTGAATTTTGCAACAAATACTTTCTAAAAACCCATAAAGCAAATAAGCATGGGATTTTTGATAATTCTTTGTCACCATTTTCCCTTGGTGCTGCAGGAAATGGAATGCCTCTACCTCAGGAAAGCAATGTACCATCAGTTCCAATAACCTCTCCAGTTTCTCAGTCTTTGCCCCAACCACCAATTTCGTCCATGTCATCTTTCAAAGTAATGGACTTCATCCAGAGCCTGCCAGCATCAGAACCTCCTAAGTCAACCAAAATGGATGCAATGACACCAACTAAGGGTGACATTTTACCCCCAGTCAGCACCCCTCTGTCATCCATCAGCAATACTCAACCAACAGCTTCATCCTCATCCAACTCCACTTCCACACCTAAAGTCAGCAAGGATATGGAAGACTTTTGTGAACTTTGCCAGAAACACTTCTGTAACAAATACTACCTCAAGAAACACAAGCAAGATGTCCATGGAATTGCTCCTCCCGATGGATCAGGCTCTAGCAGCAAGAGAGGAAGACAGAAGGACTTGCAAGCTCAACTTGATGCCATCACCTCTGCATCTGTTTCTTCCAATTCACCTCTAATACCTCACTCACTTCCAAACATGACTGGATTGCCCAACATGCCTGGTGTCATGGTGCTGAACCCTTTCATGGCTCCCATGCTTCTTCCTGCAGGATCTCTTATGCCAGGATCACAGATTCCTACACCACCCATAATGTCACAGCCACTCCCTACCACTTCTCACCACGAGTCCATCACAACTACAGCATCTCCAGGCGCTACTAGTCAGACTTCTCCCGGAGCAACTCAGAAAGACTCAAACTCCAATAACCAGGAGGCCTACTGTGAACTCTGCTGCAAAGAGTTCTGCAATAAATATTTTCTGAAGGTCCACAAAGCAAATAAACATGGAATCTTCATGGAGGACTTCCCATTCCTCCCAGGGATGCCAGGAATGCCTGGAATGCCTCCATTCAAATTTCCTCTGAGTGAAGGTATGATGTCTGCTCCTCCAGAAAAACCTTTAGCCTCCATGGCTGCTATGGATGGCAGAAGTCAAATCAAATCAGAACCTAGTCCCAAACATGGAACATCCCTTGTTTCCTCATCTAGTCCTGAAAACTCAGTAACCTACTGTGGATTGTGCAATCAAGAGTTTGCCAGCAAGTACACGTACCGTATTCATCGCATCCAAGTCCATGGCATGTTGAATGAGGGTCTTGATGGGTCCCTCACTGAAGAAATTATTAGGAATTCCTTTAGAGAAAGAGAGGAGTTCTTCAGATATGCAATGAGAGAGAAGGAAGAGGCTTCCAAAATATCTCCTGGTTCAAAAAATGAAAATGAAAAGGAAGGTGAAACCAAGATGGCTGACAATGGAATGACTACAATGTTTGGAAATATGGTTGCAGCAAAACTTGCAGACCGTGTAACTTGTGACATCTGCAATAAAGACTTGTGCAATAAGTATTTCCTCAAAGTACACAAGTTCAAAGTACATGGAGTGGACACTTCAGCCACTGACAACAAGTTCGATCCTAGCCGTATTGCCAAACATCAGCTAACTGGAGACTTTGAACTCATCAAAAATGCAGTGAAGCAGGAGCCAAAAGATATACCTAGTCAAAGTCCAAAACATACCTCCAAGTTAGACAAAATAAAAGACTTCCCACAGTTCAGTCCTAAAATGTCATCCTTTATGCCCATGCCTATGCCGATGCCAATGCTCTCCAGACCAGGAGAGATGCCAAGAGACAAACCAATGTCTCCAAGCACAAACGTTGAAAAACCATCCAATGAAGAGCTTGTTAAAATGGGCATTGACCCTGAAGCCTACTGTGAAATCTGCAAGAAAGAGTTCTGCAGCAAATATTTCCTTCGAACACACAGACTGAACATCCATGGCATTTCAACACCAGATACACCTCAGTCAACTCCAGGCAAAATCAGTCCAATGATGTTCCAACAGGCCAACAATATACCACTCAATTTAAGCATGAATGGTGGCATGAGTAGTGGCAAAAAGAAAAGTGGATTTGAAAAACACTCTTGGAGATGGAAGGAGCCCATGAATTCCTCACGAGTCAGCTGTGACATCTGCAACAAGGAGGTCTGCAACAAGTACTTCTTGCGTACACATAAATTAAACAAGCACGGGATCCTTCCAAGCGAAAATTCGCTGTCCCCATCTACCTCAGATATTGAAACCCAGAGTAATTCATCATTGCCAACAGATCTCAGTATGCATGAAAGAATGCTACCAAGTCCTCACACTGTCAAACTTGATAGCAACATGCCTGGAATCCACGGAATGGATGAGAGGATGATGAAGATGGGAGACTCTCCTATAAAGATGAATCCAGAAGAAGCATATAACAGTGAAATCTGTCATCTCTGTGATCGACGCTTCAAAAACCAGAAGTGGTTGAATGCTCACATCTTGAAGGATCATGCAAGGGCTGGAGGATTTCCACCTGAGATGAGGGAGAGAATGATGCATGCTGGGATGGAGCTTTGCTTTGACAAGAAAACTTGCAGAATTTGTGAGAAATCTTTTCCTAGTGAATTGTCAATGCATCTGCACATGATACAAGAGCACAATGCACAAGTCAGTCTCAACACGGAAGAGAAAAGTCCACCTGTCCCTAAACGCAGATCCAACTTAACCAAACCCAGATTTGCTATGAAGAGAGGGTTCTCTTTTACTGCCAAGCAAAAACTTTACAATTGTGCTATTTGTGACTATAAAAGCAAGTGGTTGAATAATGTGTATATGCATGAACTGAAAGAACATAGAGTGCTACATGTCAAAAATAAATCAGGAGTGAAGCGGATCGTTGATAAAGCAGCCAAAAATCTGAAGCAGTACAGGTGTACAAAATGTAACCTTAAATTTGCAACACCAATTCTGTGTCATCTGCATATTCGTGAGGAGCACATCCGAAACAAAAATTTCCGTGTAAATAATAAACTACCAAACACTCGTCTGAACTGTAAATTTTGTCCATTCTCAACCAAGTTCTCAAAGCAACTGCGACATCACATGACCCGCGTTCATTGCGATGGCCGCTACACCTCGTATAAAGATCACAGCAGCTACGACCTGGAAAAGAACATGGATGTTCCAAGTGATTCTCTGAGTGACTGTAGCAATGAAAACTTCCAGCTGTTCAAAATTCAAGACTGTTCTCTAGAATCTGACTTCCGTTCCTCGATGGCCGTCAAACTTCCTGTACGTCACCGCATGACCAACCCTGTCACAGTAACCTTTCATCTGGCTCCTATGGAACAGTAAGAAATTGTTGTAGATATATGTGTTCATGTGACCTGTCATTGGTTATGTCCCTTTGTCAAAGGAATTTTTTTTTCCTGATTAGTTTGAAAATAAGACAGATAAGATATAAAGCATTTTTTTAGCCGCTTGACCATTTTTACGTGGTTATGGACTAATTTCCATGCTAAGAAATAACTCAAATTTTGATGATACTTGTGAAAGGGGTTCGATGGGTTTTTCTTGTTTTGTTTTGGGATTTTTTTTTTTTTTTTACAATTTAGCCTGTATACTGGTTAAAAATGATGTGCAATCTAAGTTTCTTTTTGTTGTAATATTACTCGCATTTAATTTATTTTGTTATTGTTATGTTGTTGATTAAAAAGGTAAAACTCTTTTACCATATTGCAATCACCCCCTTTGCATAAGGGTTTTACCCTTAGTTCAGAAAAGTCAGTTTTAGTATAGTTTAAAGTATCTACTTTCATTAATTGTGGCAGCACGGTGGGATGAAGTTTTTATGTAAGTTTTCCCCTATAAAGAGATTTTTTTTGTTGGAGTTTCAGTATTATTGCAATGTTAAATCAAACTTTTGTTTTCAGTTAATATGCACTTAAGTATTATAGTATAAATCCTTTTTTTTTTTTTATTAATTTGTAGTCCTAGTGCAAATTATGTAATCTACACTGTAATATACATAAGTATATATGTATACCCAATCATGATATTGTATAATTATCATGATAATATTGTCCATTCCTAAAAAAAATCACTGCAATGCCGCTAAATGCCCAGTACTTAGCCTTGTAAGAAATTTGTATTTGATGTACATATATATTAACCTAATCGAAAAAACCTATAATTCTAACCAGTGTACAGATTTTTTGTATGTCTTAAGTGTAAATTGAATGAAAATCAGGGAACATTTTTCAGCAAAATCTTGAGTAATGATCCATGTACGTATGTGTTCTTGTGAAGTTTTTTTTTAAATGACATATTATTTATTAGATCATGTATACACTTGATGTTTTTTATAAAGACATGTTTTTGTGTGTGATTATGTAAACACAGTATTCACAATTATAAAAATATGTACCACACAGGCTGTGGTAAAGCATTGTTGAAAATGTGACATTTTTTTTAATAGGGGGCATTACATGAAATGTGCAATTTGTGTGTGCAAGTTTTTTGTACACAGCTTATTGTGTACTTTTATTACTTCATAAATGAGTGACACAGTTCTTCAATCAAAAACCCAAATAAAAACCCATGTTACATGCATACTACATGTTAGCAATATAGGTGGTCAGGTACAAAAACTATACTGAACATGTAAAATAAATATTAATGACATTTTGTTTGGGGACCTTTTTTTTTGCAAGTCTTGCCAAGATCTTAATAGGATGATATGATATTTTCAACACAAGTAGCTTCCATGACCACTTGTAAATATTGTTTTATTTACAAAAGTGCATTGCCAAAAAAATTAACACATGTTGAAGTTTTTTTTACGGATCCAAACAATTGTTACAAATGATTATAAAGTGTTTCCAATTACATTTTTATTTTAATTAAAAGTTAGGAGAAACAAAGTTAGATACAATCAAAGCTGTTTTTGTCCCCAATGCAAATCATGAGAAATATAAATGCATTTATTTGATGTGTATGGTGTTTGTAAATTTTTTTCATGTAATCTATGTTTGACTTGTGTGGTGTTTTTTGATTGGTTGATCCCGTAATTTGTGTGGAGTTTCTGGATTGGTTGATCCCGTTTTTTTCCTCTCATTCCTAGCGTATTTCCAGGATTTGGAGCATCGGTGTATATTTCATGCCCATTTCCACTTAGCTTTGTGGTTGAAGTGAAATTATATATATTTTTGATATGCCATATCGTGTGGCTCTTGTTTTTATCAGCTAATCTTATATAATCTTGTTTGATTTTTTTTTACATAGGAGAGTTATCTAGTAGCTGTTTATGAATTTGATTTTGTATATTTATTGTTGAAACCATGGTTCCACAAATCATTCATTTATACACATATTTCTTAAAGTTTAATTAGGTCTTAGAACTCCAACTAATTAACATGAATTCAACGTACAGATTCAATGTATCTTTTTGCTCCGTGATGCCTGCAATCAATTCTACGATAGGGAATTGTCAATTAAAAGCTACAAAAATGGCCACTTTGATTCATGTTCTTGGAAGCTTTTTTTAATTTATATATTCAAATCAAATGAGTTTTCCTGATATTTTTTTGCATACAAAACAGCCCAGACTCTTATATAAGATATTTAAAATGATTGATCTTCAAATTTGGTTTGATATTTTTTTCATAAATCAAAAGTTCATTGAAATAGTTTGAATATTTGAATAAGTTTTGACTTAATGTGAAATTACATCAATTAAAATACGATTTATTTCCATCACAATTCTTTTTGGGCTTTGAAATTTGTCAATGAAAAAAGTCATTGTTTTCCAATGTTAATTTGAATCTAGTCAGTCATTTTCAAAATGGTACTTAATTAAACTGCAAAGATGAGTCATCATTTTTGAAAAGCATTAATCCTTCTTTCCAATTTCAACAACAACAAATTGACACTGTTTTTTTAATAAGAAAGGAATTTTATTGTTCTGTTAAGAAAAATATGCCTTCATCTGTTGGTTGATTTTAAAGGTTCACCGATTACTGTTCAATGGCTTGATAAATCAACAAGTTTTTTACTTGGTTCTTATACATATTTTCGACATTTTTCAACTTTTATGTCAATGAACAGCTGTTTTAACAACATCTGATTTTCCTCCTCTTTCAAATGATTCATATTCATCTACATTAATAATTTGTAACATTTTTCACAGGAAGGTTGCCAAAAATCTTTAAAACAAAAATAAACCTTACAGCATCTAAAGAAACATTGTTTCTGTATAACTGTAATTTATACTTTTGTTAATCTTTGTATTTATTCTAAAGAGCAAACTCCTTCTTGATACATTGCCCCACGTTTAGTATTTATATTATGGAGCTAGTCAGTTTTTTTGTCGCATTCCTTTGGTACAAGGGTGGACCCCCCCAATGGAACTACCTCGCACCACACCAGTTTTCCCACCATAGAAGGAAAATTGTAAACCGTGAAAAATAAACTAGTCATAATTTATATTTAGTAGTGGCATAAGCTGAGTGTATTTCAATGTACATAAATTATACATGTATATGGTAATTATTTAGCATATGTGTTAGTGTAATTTTTTTTTTTGAAAAATAATATAATACGGGTTAACCCTTGTCCAAATGTGATTAGGGTTTTTTCTTAACGCAGAGTCAAGGTTATAGAATTTTGTAATTATTTGTAATTAGTCAGTTCAGATATGCCTAAATACACTGTAAATTTGTCAATGTATTTCTGCAGTAACTTTAAACTTTTGTTCACTTAATTCCTAATTGTGCAATTAAAACAGCCCTCTTGCCACTAGTTTCAATTTTATTTTCACATTATGAATTAGTTGATACTAGTTGGGGGGTCAAAACCCCAAGTGGTTGACAATATATATATTAAATAGGATTATTTTTTTTTTTTTAAGTACAGAAATGTTTTGTTGTGTTTTGTCCATTTTATTTATTTATATTTCCCTGTTCAGGGGAGTATGTTGACATTCATTTTGTTGCCAGTTACCATGGGTTTCTTGTCAATACTGTTTGGTTAATATCTCTGTATAGTGGAGTGATTTTTTTTTCACCAACACACTGTCCCATGATGGTGTTTTGTATGCAATAAATTTGAAATGTTACTTCTGCTTTTGTTTTTATATCAATCTATAGGCTTCTAAAGCTCAGCCATCTTAAAGTCAGCTTTGGCTTAAAATCTATACTTTCAGAATTCATTTACGTTGGCATGTTCCTTTCATGTAAAATTAATTTTTGTTCAGTTTCAAACCTGAAGACTATTTTTACTCTTCTCTGTTCTTGGACATTTGTGGTACAAACCACTTTGTAAAAATGATTCTTCAATGGAATTTGATAGAGATGGTATTGATTGACATAAGTATTGTCCTTATTTGAACAGAGACAAGTAGATATAATCTCGGAATATAAACTGGGCAAAAATGGGTTTTCCTTGAAAAGATTGGTTATTTTTTAAGCAACAAAGTGTTGAGTAATCCTGCGAAAAGTTGTTTTTAGGATACTACAAAAGGCTTGTAGTAAAAGTCGCTTAAAAAACACGTGTAAACAAAAAAAAAAATCTCGACGATGAGCAGGTACAAATATTGCAGGATGAAACATTATACATGTATTTAAAACATCAGATATTCTTTTTCGTGGCATTATACACATGTATATATCGTGCAACCAATTCTACTTGGACGGGATTGTTACAAGGCGAAATGTAATAACGCAAAATCATGAACATGTACGCAAAACATTATAACAAACTTTTTAGGGTATTACATTTTGCGTTATCACATTTTTCGAATAACGCAAAATGTATTGGCATAATTTTGTACATTTTGCGCTGTTACATTTTTTTCTTCATATTTTGCGATGTTACATGACATGTATATCGTGCAACGAATTCATTGGTAAACATTTATATACTAGTTAATATCTTTATGCAACTAACTTTTTGATGGGCTTGTGCAACCAACTCTTTGCTAGCTTTTTAAAAAATATGTTGATAAGGTGAAGCATGTAACAAAAATGACTAGTAATATTGATATGTTTAAAATGATAAATTATGATAAACTGTTTTATATATCTGGCTGCAGGACGAAGTAGGTAAAATTAAAGACTTGGATAAACTTTTCACCTGAACTTTTTTATGACTGGTCAAGAATTTCGTTTAATTTATAATTTAAGCAAAGTTTCACGGTGACCCTTCAAGGCAGTCATTAGTGAAGTGGACATATGATTACCTGAAGGCCGTAGAAACAAAAAAAGAATTAAATCTCGCCCTTTGCGCTGGTCACTAGTTTAAAATATCTCTCTCTCTGTCTCAAACTCTCTCTCTCTCTGAAATGATTCATACTTTCAAATGAATTGAAAGAATGCGAGAAGGTTAAGCGTAGGGAAGTTTAATGAGATTAGAAAAGTAAAAACAAAATTGATGGGTCAGTTTTATCTCCCTAGGCGCTAACTTAAAGCAGCCTACGAAACAACAGTAATTCATCACTTCATGAAATTTCAAATTTATCCCCCGGTCAGGAGATTTATGCGCGATGACCCACACTGACTGTCAAATTTCACAATAATTTATGAAGCAGATTTTCGTCCGCCAACATCTTTTGTTCTTTAATGTTTTAAAAATGTCCTGTCAGCTGAACAGAGTTTCTTATACAACACGAGAGAGAAGATCTAAATGTTTTGTCTTTCGGCAATGTCTCAATTTATAGAGTTCTAGATAAAATTAAATTGACTTTAAAGAAAAAAAGAAAACACTTTCTTGACTGTGGAAATATGTAACATTTTTGCCCATGGGTTAAAACAGCTTGACCTTCGTGTGTTCTTAAAATGGACACTTTACTTGACACAGAAAACAGAGATATGTATTATCGACACGGGGCAGAAAGCACGTGCATGTTTCATTTTGGAACCATTAGACACGTGCTTTTTATAGCTCATTATGCCATAAAATAATTTTTAAATCATCAAACTGTGAAACACAGACATCATCGACTAGGGAAAAAAGTTGTTATCGCCTAAATTCAACAATAAAGTGTTAAATTACATAATCGTACATCTGGTCAACTTTCATTGTGTGGCGGCTAGGTATATTTTCTTTGTTACAAGCACCAATTAAAGGCTTCATTAACGAAAGATTATGCAAAAACAGCTAAAACAAAATTAAATCGGCATCGGGTAAGTCGAGTTACCACCATCTGCCCCGGCGCGGCAGACTTCAATTAAATTTGGCCTGTTTTTATAATCAAAGATCAATAGCCGAAACGTTAATATGAATAATGTAAAACAACGAAGGTTTTAAAAAGGAACTTATGAAGTTACACGAACTCTAAGATCTGGTCGATAATTGAAAAAGAATTGAACCAATTTACACAAAAGCCTGAAATATGTCTGTGACTACGTTATATATACTTGAGTTCCACTTAATTCACATGCTTTAAAAAAAAATCTTTGTTAAATATCAAAGGATTGGATTCTAAGCCTCCTGCTGTTAAAATATGATGTTAAATTACATAAGAAAAGAGATACATTTAACAGTTTGGTCGATTTAAAACTTCATTGAAAAATTAACCCACAAAAAATCTTTAGAGGGTCAACGACTCTATTAGTTTCTTAAGAAGTCTTTGTAAAGCCCCAGCATGAAGCGGCAAATTGACTGACTTACGGAACTTTTCTCCGCATTTTCTATTTTAATGATCGGATTTAAAGATTTTAAATTACGAGATTCTAAAGAAGGAAAAGAGCGATCTTAAACTGTACTTTATTTTTATCATTTTTGAAACCAGAATAAAGAAAAACATGTCAGTCTGATTCAGTGAAATATTGAACTAGCTCGGAGCTATGAACTAAAACAAAGCAAAAATTCTCTCGAGATGCCAAAAAGGAAAAACAAAATCACATAAAATGCTAACTGAAATTAATTAATTCAATTTGCCTCGCATTTTAAGCAAGAAAGTCGACGCATACCGTTGTTTGAAAATAAAAATCAATTAAATTGCTTTTCCGCAAAGAAAACTTAATTATAAATCGAACCCCCGTTCCCTTTCTACAGTCTATAAAAAGGCTGTTTTCTTAATGCATTTTTCAAAAAAGTATCTTAAAAAGTACATTTTATTCCTTAACTGAATAGTGTATGTGCATGTGTATCCATATATAGTTCTAGATATATTCAAGGGGAGGGGGAGAGCAATTTAAACTAATATATAGAGTTAATGTCTTAAATCAGAAAACTTGGAAAATAAACATGACATATTCATTCATTATTCGCCCGTATTCAATTTTAGTGATAAGAATTTTATCCATTTTGTGTAAATGATGTGATTTTGAACAGCTCAATCTTGTTTAAGATCCACTCCACTCTACTCCAAAGTTTGCGGTCCGCTCCACTCCTCTCCTGGGGCAGATTATAAACCCCGGATAGAGAGGGATGGAGCGGATCGTAAACCCCGGAGAGGGATGGAGCGGATCGTAAACCCCGGAGAGGGATGGAGCAGATCGTAAACCCCGGAGAGGGGTGGAGCGGATCGTTAACCCACTTCTCTCCTGGGTTTACGATCCGCTCCACTCCTCTCCTGGGTTTACGATCTGCTCCACTTCTCCCCGAGATTTATGATCCGCCCCACTCTTCTCCTGGGTTTACGATCTGCTCCACTCATCAGCGGGGTTTACAATCCGCTCCATCCATCTCTGGGGTTTACAACCCTCCCCACCTCTCCTGGGTTTACGATCCGCTCCACCCCTTTCCGGGTTTTATTATCCACCCCACTCCTCACCGGCCGGATTTACGATCCGCTCCACACCTCTCTGGGGTTTACAGTCCGCTCCACGCCTCGCTGAGGTTACTCCATTCCAGATTTTACAATCCGATCCACTCCTCTCCGAGGTTTATGATCCGCTCCACTCCATTCCGGAGATTACGTTCACTCCAATTCTCACCGGGGTATACGACTCCCTCCACCCGAGGTTTGCGATCCGCCCATTCCTCTCTGGAGCGAATCGTAAAAGATGGGACAGCTCACAGTTGTTATCAGCATTGAGTTAAAAACTAAGTTAATTTAGATTTTTTAATTGATTTAGTCGTCATGATGGTGAAATATTTGCAAACTGGAAACCGAGGAAAAAAATCCAAAAAAAAAAAAAAAAAAAAAAAAAATCGAGAAAACCCAGTTTTGTTTCTTTGGAGATTGGTACGGTATGTTATACCTAACAGAAGGGGACAAAAGTTAACAAAAGCAGGCAGAAAATATTTCAAGGTTTGAGTAAATGATGACCATTCTGTAGACTGAAGATGGACGTGGTGGACACAACTTTCCAAGAGATCACACGTTTTGTAAAATTTGCAATAACGTTGATGACATAGGCGTTGGAACCGGGGGGGGGGGGGGGGGGGGGCTAGGTTTTTTTTTTTTTTTTTTTTTCTTTTTCAAAAATAGACATCATATAGACATTGAAAATTGAGATTTACCTTTTCTGTTGGCTTAGCCCACCCCCTTTCAATTTTTTTGCTTCCGACGCTCATGAATGATAAATACACCCTTTCTTTCTCGGCTGTTAATTAACAAAATCTGCTACATGTATCATTTATTCTCCAAAGTCATTAATAAATTTATTGTTTAAAAAGACAAAAGATAAACCACTCAGTAAAATGCATCAACTTTTCAATCCAATATCTTTGGTTACTACAATACTTTGCGATCCCATACAACGCCTTCCGCCATCTTGTAAATTTTGAATTGGGTGGCTGTAATTACAATCTCAGAGGACTCTTTCTGATGGTGTATGGTTAATGCTATCCTATAGTTGTGGTACGTTCCGACGTATTTTTAAAAATAAAATTTGAGAAAATAGTCATATTGCACATTTCATTTCACAACATAAAATATTTTGGAGAGGATACATGTACCATGGAAAGAAAGAACCACGTGAAGTGATGTATGTATATATAATACTGCATATCCAAAATCTGGACAATTGTTTCGTTTTATGTCGGTCAAAGTCCGTGGGTGAAGATTATGATATAAAATCGACATATGCATTTCAAAATTTAAAGCTTTTCACCTTCTCTACATTATATATTAATTTGAAAAATACTTCCATCGTAGTTCGTGATACT